TCCATCCCTCCACCCATCCCATCCATCCATCCATCCATCCATCCATCCATCCATCCATCCACTCAACAGAATGTATTGTTAGCCACAGTCACGTAATTTTCGACTCCCAGTGAGCCTGTGAGCTGCAGAGTCGGGTTCAGGGCTGTAATTCAGTGGGCCGCCACTCGTCTGTCAGTTTGTCACACTGGGTCCGAACCAACTGGATGGCCTCCGCCACAACCATCTCAACAGACCCCCAGCCCTTTTCTCGGAGGCACCACCAGTGGGTTCTCATCACCAACCTTGAGGGCCTGTACGCACAGGTGCCAACTGGTCAATTAGCCAACCATTTGTACCACCTGGGCACCTGTTACAAAATGCAATGCACTCCAGTGGCTGTGAGCCACTGAGTTGGGGGCAAGGGAAGCGAAAGGAGGTTGAGGCCAGCCCAGTTCTTGGGGAGCCCACTGTCTCCTGGAGAGACTCGCTTGCAGAGGTCAGGGCAGGGATTGCAGGGGCTCAGAAAGGGGGAGCCTGGCCGAGCCTGGGAGGAGCTGGGAAGCTGCTCCAGAAGGGTCCATCTGAGCTGATTCCTGATGCAGGAGAGAGCCAACTCCGCCTGCTCTTGGTGGGGTGGGCTGGGAGGCAGGCAGGTGAGGGATGGAGTGGTGCATTCCGTGGGTGTAGGTGAACCTCTGTGGAAGCTCTGAGGACCCCAGTGGGCAAAATCCGCGGGCCTCCTTCAGCACGGAGAGCGGAGTGACATCAGATGCAGGCCCTAGGATGCTCTTTGGGGCCACATGAGGTTGAGCGGGAGGGGACTGGCCAGGAGGTGGCGCCAGGCTTGGAGAAGAGGCCACCATGGCTTGGCCCAAGTGGCTGCAGCAGGTGAGCCGGTTCACCAGGCTCTCCCTCTGGGCTGAGGTGGCCTCGTGCCGTTCAGGTTCACGTCCCCGTCCCTGGAGGCATTTGTCTGTTCAGTCAGCGCCTCCTCCACAGGAAGTGGGGATGCCCTGGGTTTAGATGAGGTGCACGTCCGCTCCAGGAAAGGAGAGGTGTGCAGCGAGAGCTCAGGAGTGACTGGCAAGCGATGGTCCTGTGAAACCTGGCCCAGGTGCCACCACCAGCTGGCTACACACAGCTCTGAGCCCAGGGGAAGGGCAGCCTAGGAGGAACAGTGAAAGAAGGCAGGGACTTTGCTGGAAAGGGACAGCGCCTCTCTTTTCCCCTGGTACCAGAGCGTTGGGGAGACCATGCCCTCCACCTGCTTTCTAGGGAAGCCTTTGTGCCAACCTCATTGGGGAAGGGCTGGCAGGGGCTTGCTACCTGCAGGGAGCATTCCTGCCAGCAGATGGCATCAGGGCCCCACTTGAGAGGTGCCCAGTGCCATACTTAGCCTGGCTCCACTGCGCGGCTGCTGGAGGGAGGGGAGAAGGAATGCTCTGGGGGTTAGGGCAGAGTAGGAGAAAGAGCAAGAGGGTATGGGGCCTCAGACAGACCTGGGTTCTGATCCGAACAGGCCCTTGCTGACATTTCTCTGCCGCTTCCTTTGGCCAAGCACTGCTCTGGGTGAGTGATACAAGAGGGGCTTTCAAAAAGGCTGTGGAAAAAGCCCACCGTCTTTTCGTTCCATTTTGCCACGAACTCTCTGAAGCCGCGGCTATTGAGGTCAGTCTAGTGACAGCCCCGTTTTGCAGATTGGAAAATGAAGGTGTGAGGCAGCTGAAGTGCTTTTTCAAAGTCGCACGGCTAGCGGGTGGTAGGAGAGGAGTCGACCTCATGGGGGAAGTTGTTCACTGCCAAGGTGATGCCGAGGCCAGAGGAGGTGCCCAGCCTGTGTCTGAGAGCAGAGGCAGCCTTTGGTCATTATCGGCCATCAGGTAGCTCCGACTCAGAGTAACAGAACCAAATGCCGCCTGGCCCTGTGCCCTCCACACAGTTGTCAGGTTAGAGCCCATTGTACAGCCACGGTGTCAGCCGTCTCCTTGAGGGCCTGTCTCGGTTTCACCACCCCGACTGGACCAAGCCTGGTGTCATTTTCTCAGGGCCGGTCTCTCCTGAGGAGCCCAGGTGGCGTCATGGTGACGTGTCGGGCTCTTAACTGCAAAGCCAACAGTTCAAAACCACCAGCCACTCCTCAAGAGAAAGACAAGGCTTCCTACCCCGGGAACAGTGACAGTCTCGGGACCTCACGCTGCTCTGAGTCAGCATCGACGCGCTGGCAGTGAGCTTGGTCTTCGTTTAAGCTCTCCTGACAACATGTCCAAAGTCCATGGGACAAGAGTCTCATCAAACCAGCTTCTAAAGAGCCTGCTGGCTGTACTTCTTCCAAGACAGGCTTGCGTGCTCTTCTGAAGTCCACAGTGTGTGCTTTCAAAGGGTTTCCCTGACACGTGACTCCGATGCTTCTGTTCTTATTTGGTTTTCCTTATCCATTGTCCAGTGTTCACAGCCCGCGAGGGGACCGAAAATACTGTAGGGAAGCTTAGTCTTCAACATGACACCCTTACTCTTCAACATGTTAAAGAGGTCTTGTGCAGCAGAGTTGCCTAACGCGATCAAGGAGTACGGGGCACAGTGGTCAGATCGCGGGGCTGCCAACCGAAAGGTGGACGGTTTGAACCTACCAGCAGCTCCGAAGGAGCAGGATCTTATCCATCCAGCTCTGTAAAGATCGACAGCCTTGGAAACCCCTGGGGCAGGTCTACTCTGTCCTGTAGGGTCACAATGACTTGGGATGATGACTTGGGATCGGGTCAAGGGCAGCGGGTTTAGGGTTTGGTTTAGGTGTGAGTTATGCCATCCATTCTCCCTGTCTCTGGTAGGTTTGGGCATGTGAGCGTGGCACACCTCCTCTTGGATCACGGCGCTGACGTCAATGCCCAGAACCGGCTGGGGGCCAGCGTGCTGACGGTGGCTGCTCGCGGTGGCCACCTGGGCGTGGTGAAACTGCTCCTGGAAGCTGGCGCTTTTGTGGACCCCTGCGGCGAGCAACTGAGGACAGGGGGTAGCAGGGACGAGCTGTTGGACATCACAGCCCTGATGGCCGCCATCCAGCACGGGCATGAGGCAGTGGTGCGGCTGCTGATGGAGTGGGGCGCAGACCCCAACCACGTGGACCGGACCGTGGGCTGGAGCCCGCTGATGCTGGCAGCGCTCGGTGGGAGGCTGGGCATGGCCCAGCAGCTGGTGGAGAAAGGGGCCAGCCTGGACCACCTCAGCGTGCTGGAGAAGACTGCCTTCGAGGTTGCACTTGACCGCAAGCACAGGGACCTTGCAGACTACCTGGACCCGCTGACCACCGTCAGGCCCAAGACAGGTCAGGCTGCCCCAGGGTCCCCCACCCCCCACCTCACTTGCCCTCCAAGCAGGACAGGTGCTCAGCCACAGAACTCAACCAGCTGACACTCTTTCACTAGAGGATCTTGGCCTGAGAGGGCCCAGCCCACAGCAAATATGACCCTTAATGGAGGCTTCCAGGGACGTGACGTTTTGGAGACAGATGCTGGCTTGTTTCTTCATACGTGGGGTTTCACAGGGAACCATGTGCTGGGTCCCATGGATGTGGTTCCCATGGCGAGCCCTGGAGTTGACTAGTTGGGCAGCGTGGCTCTGGTCACTCAGGCTCCTTGAATACCGACCAGTACCAGCTTCCATAGAGCCATCTTGCTCACGGCAGCCCCCTAGTGTCTGAGGAGGGCGTTGCACCATGGGATTCAGGAGGTAGATGATTGCCAGGTACACTTTTCTTGCAAGGTGCTCCTGGGTAGACAGCCACCCCGCCACCCCCTAGCCTTGCAGTAAGCTGCTGACCACAGTGAGAGTTTGTCTCTGTGCCCTCTGATCGGCCCTCACAGTAACAAAGCATTTCCCTTCTTATTAGCATCTGATTCCTGCCGGCAATTACACAAAAGACAGCGTGTCTGGTATTTCGGCCAAGGAGGCCAGCTCATTCCAGAAACGAGGGGCTCCCATTCAGATTCGCCTTTAGAAATGTCACAGGAACCCAGGGTCTTCCAAGACCGTAGAATGTTCTGTTCACGCATGAGAAAGGAAATCCTGAAGTTTGGAATGCCCCAGAAATGACGGCTGGATCCATGTGGACCCCAGGCCTTGGTCTGCCCTCGCTCAGGCTGTGTCTGAGGGGTCCACAACTCCCCTGGCAGCAGCCCCTCCCTCGGAGCCTTGAGTCCGTCTCCCAGGCCCAGGCCACCTTGATTAGATTGCTTCTAAGAAGTAGATCATTTTTAAAGCTCGCCTGTGTGGTTACACCCTTGTGGATTTTCTGTTCTATTAATCCTTTCCGCGGCTAACTTTTCACATCTTTGTTTACCCAGATGAGGAGAAGAGGCGGCCTGATATTTTCCACGCATTGAAAATGGGTAAGCGCTTTAGCAAACCTCCCTGGGTGTTGACGGAGACGGTGCCACATTCTTCCAGGCTAATATTTGCAGTCCGTTCCGAGGCCACCCTGAGGGATTGAGAAAGAGGTTGGCATTTTGTTGTTCCTCGAACATGCAATTCCGACCAGAGAGGCTGGGGTTCGGGGGCTGGTGTTTATGGTGCTTCAGTGTGGGCCAAAGTCCTCCTACCACAACTTCTCCCCCTCTCCCACAAGCCCTACAGCTGGGGCTGGGCCTATCCCTGCCCATCTGCCCCCCACCCCCACCTCCATTCTCTGAGCAACGAAGGTCTATTTAGCCTAAGATTTCTTCTCCCGTTATAGCCCCCACCCCCAGGCAGCTCTCCCTGGCCCTCCCCACCTCCAGCGAGCCATGAACTGTCCTTCATCGGAGGCGCCTTGGAAGACAGTCCTGGCCACCTGCCTCCCAAAGGTCCCCCCTTGAACACCCCATGTGCAGCAGTGCTCTGCACACGCAAGGTGGCTGTGCGTCAGAACTGACAAAGGGGCAACAGAATGTTTGTGTACTTGTCTCCACCCCTTGAGAGCGGGGCCCTGGAGGTGGGGTGGGTGTGAGAGTGGGGGATGATTTCTGAGCTATCCTCAAAGCCCCCACAATGCCCGGCAGGCCAGCCTGAAGGCAAGCTCAGGAAGCAGCGCGGGCTCCTGAGCCAGGGGGCTCGAGTCGGCCGCTGCAGGTCCTGGGGGTCACTGGGGGCTTGTGCTGTGCTGGCAGGAAACTGCCAGCTGGTCAAGGAGATTGCCGATGAAGACCCCAACCACGTCAACATGGTCAACGGGGACGGGGCAACCCCCCTGATGCTGGCCGCAGTCATGGGGCAGCTGCCGCTGGTGCAGCTGCTGGTGGAGAGGCATGCCGACGTGGATAAGCAGGACAGCGTGCACGGCTGGACAGCCCTCATGCAGGCCACCTACCACG